GGGATTAATGAAGCCCAGATGCAGGACTTCTGACTCTGGCTGCAAGTTCGCTGTAGAGCAGCAGCTCGGAGGGGCCATTTACCTCCCACTGTGTTCCCAGCCCAGCTGCTGCTGAGGCTCCTGAGAACAGCTGGAAAGCTGGAGCCCTAAGGGGATGCATGGGGAGAAAACTGCAAGTTGGGGCTCTGGGTGAGGGGCAAGGGTCTCGCCTGCACCCGTGGGGGTTGGGGAGAGTGGGAATGAGGGGCTTCTGCTTGCTGTCCCAGGGCTCAGTCTGCATGGGGAATGCCTCTCAGTGCTCTAGGCCTGGCACTGGGGGAGGTTGAGAGGGTACATGGCGAGTTCTGCACAAAGAGGTCAAGACTTGCCTGGACGTGGTGGCTCACGCCTATAATCCCAGCACTTAGGGAGGCTGAAGTGAGAGGATTGCTTGAGTCCAGGATTTCAAGACCAGCCTGGGCAACATAGTGAAGCCTCATCTCTACAAAAAATTTAAAAATTAGCCAGCCATGGTGGTGTGTGCCTGCAGACCCAACTACTGGGGAGGCTGAGGTGGAAGGATCAACTTAGTGCAAGAGATTGAGGCTGCTGTGAGCCATGATCATGCCACTGCATGACAGTGAGACCCTGACTCTAAAAGGAAAGAGAGAGAGAGGACAGAAGAGAAAGAGGTCAAGACTAAAGGGAGACAAAGTCAGGAGGGCTCCATAATAGTTCATGTCAGGTCTTCCCAGGCCTGAATGGGAATGGTTGGATCCTCCCAGGTTGCCTGATACAATGGAAATATATAATGCGACAAGTATAGGGTAAAAAATATTAGTCTTCATTTATCTGAAATTCAAATTTAATTGGGCATCCTATATTTTGATTTGCTAAATCTGGCAATCTTATCTCCCCCTCCAGCTGAATTTCTTTTTTGAGTAATAGTTTATTGAACTACAATATGTAAATAGAATAGAGCAAAGATAGTTAAGTGTATGGCTCAGTGGCTTTCCACCAGTCCAACACACATGAAACCAGCATCCGCATTAAGAAATGAAACATACCCTGACTCCCGCCCCAGGGACACCAGTATCCTGACTTCCAACAGCTGAAATTTGCCACCATTTTTTTTTTAAGAGACTGGGGTCTCGCTGTGTTGTTCAGGTTGGCCTCCCATCTGAAATGATCCTCTGCCTTAGCCTTCCAAGTAGCTGGGACTACAGGCATGCGCCTCCACACTTGGCTTGCACATTTTTCGTACTTTATATAAATGAGATCACACAGATATATTCTTTTGCACTTGGTTCCTTTCCTACAACACTGAAGATCATTCGTGTCTTGGAGGTGTTTAAGTTCATTCATAATCATGGCTCCCCTGCAGGATTTAGTTGCATGGATATAACTTGATTATCTACTGCACCTCTGCTGCTGTGAATATTCTAGTGCATTTTTTTTTGTACCTGTGTACCTAGGAGTAGCATTTCTGAGTCATGGGAGAGGTGTATGTACATCTTTTTTTTTTTTTTTGAGTCAGGGTCTCACTCTGTTGCCAGTGCAGTGGCAAGACCACAGCTCACTGCAACCTCCAACTCCTGTACTCAATTCTCCTGCATCAGCCTCCTGAGTAACTAGGACTACAGGCACGTGCCACCACACCTAATTTTTAAATTTTTTGTAGAGATGAGGTCTCACTATGTTGCCCAGGCTGTTTTCAAATTCCTGGCCTCAAACAATCCTCCTGTCTCGGCCTCCCAAAGTGCTGGGATTACAGGCATGAGGTATAGTGCCCAGCCTGTATGAGCATCTTTAATAGATCTTGCCAAACAGTTTTGGGGAGTGGATGCACTTGTTGATAGTCCTACCAGCTCTGTTTAGGTACTTCATGACCTACACCTCACCAGCACCTGGTGTGGTCTCTCATTTGCATTAGCTCTTTGGGGTATGGCGGTACTGCCAACTGCTTCTTCTCCTTTTTTTTTTTTTATTTTTTAAATTTTTTTTTTATTTTTTGAGTCGGAGTCTCACTCTGTCGCCCAGACCGGAGTGCAGTGGCCGCTCCTGGCCACCGCAGCCTCGACCTGCTGGGCTCCGGTGATCTTTCCACCTCAGCCTTCCAAGTAGCCGGAATTATAGGCATGTGCTACCACGCCCGGCTGATTTTTTGATTTATTGTAGAGATGAGGTCTCGCTGCCCAGGCGGGTCTCGAACCCGCGGGCTCAGGCAATCCACTCACCTCAGCCTCCCAAAGGCGCAGGATTACAGGCTGAGCCACCGAGCCTGGCCTTTTTTTATTTTTATATTTAAAAAATTTTATTGTTTAAATAGAGACAGGGTCTCACTGTGTTGCCTAGGAGGCTGGTCTTGAACTCCTGTCCTCAAGTGATCTTCCCACCTCAACCTCCCAAGGTGCTGGGATTACAGGCATGAGCACCTGGCCTGTTCTCTTTATAAAAAATCAATATCAAGCCGGCTCGGTGGCTCAGCCTGTAATCCCGCGCTTTGGGAGGCTGAGATGAGTGGATTGCCTGAGCCCCTGCG